TGCATTTGTGCAGCATAAAATCTATCGTAATTAATATCAATATTCTATAACTATGTCTGCCTGGTTCACTTCTCCTTCTCCTTCCCCTTCCCCTGCCTTTCTGCCCCTTTCCTTCTTTTTCCATCCCTTTCCTTTCTCTTTCCTTCCCCATTGCCTTTCCTTTCCCTTTCCTTCCTCAAAACCTTTTTTAATAAGCTGATTTTCCAAAATTTGATGAAGAATATATTTAGTGATTTTTTTCACTTCTGTCAGCTGCATGAATTTAAGGCCTGAAGTAAAATTTTACATTACAGACAAAATTGAGATTATTCAGTATGATTTAGACTAACCTCTCAGTTACAAAATTATTTCCATTTCCTTTTACCCTCTTTCTTGTAAGCTGCAGAAATCAATCTAACAATACAGCTGGAAGAAAAAAAAAATATGTAAGAAGACACTTTCATTTTAATAACATTTCTTAATGTTATAAAATCCCATCTTACATTTTCTACAAAATAAGTGAAGTTGTATTATGGATCAGTGGACCATCACTCCAGGCTAGCCCTCTTGTATGATCACAGATAATTTAAAGAGAATATATTTCTATATTCTCCTTTTAGTTTACAGCTTTTCAACCATGCAAAGCAGTTTGCTAGCAAATAAATAAATAAATACATCCTTGACACATTTATAGTCTGGTGATGGTGAGGAGAAAAATTGTTTAAAGTCCAAGTAATCAGACTATTACCAAGATTACCAAGTGGAGAGAGGGAAGAGGGGGAAGGGGTGTGCAGCAGTTTAAACAGAGCGAGCTGGAGGGAGCGAAGAGGGGGAAGTGTCCATCCTACCGCTGTGCTCTGCTGCCACCTTGGCCGCGCCGCGGGACGTGCAGGCGGCTCCGCGCCCGCGGAGCTCCCGCTGCGCACCTGCGGCAGCGCTCCTGCTCCGGCCCGAGAAACCTCCCTCGGCCAGGGCTGCTCACGGCCCCACTCGCGTCACCTGCTGTTACAAACCGGACAAGGATAGATGTGATGTCTAAAGGGTCAGTTTGGGGGAGTTTTGGGGGGGGGGGGGGGGGGTGGGGGGGGGGGGGGTTGAGTGTGGCTGGGGGTTGTTCTTCAGATGAGGTTCACTTGCCTGCTGTGCTTAAAAGTGGGAAATTAGAAATGTGGATGGGAGGAGAATATTTTTTTTTCCTGTCCTTTTGCTTACCGTAGGATTCATCTCCTCCCTTGTCCAGCCTTATCTTACACATTTAATGAAGAAAGCACTGAAATTCCCATTCATACACATCTACTTGCTTCTCCATCCTTCCTACAGCATGACCACAGGGGCTCTGGAAGGACCTCCCGGAACACCAGCTGCAGTCAGAGGTCGTGTGTCTCCCCCTCCTTTTTTTTTCTTTTTTCCTTTTTTTTTTTTTTTCAGAGAAGGGTGACAGAAATATCATAATGTACTGAAAATATATATAAATGAATACTAGGCAACCAATAGAGTTTGTTAATCTTGTTTCCCTGTTGCCTTGATCCAGCTCTGGGCTGGTGGCACACATTTTGGAAAGCTTTCAAGCACTTCATTTCATCTTTGAATTGCACATGCTTTTCTGTCAGTTTTAAGGTTTCTTGTGCTTAGGAGGAAACATGCTCTGACATGCTGGAGTTTGGTGGTGGCAAATATTTCCTTTGAGTACAAAGTGCATGTGTGAAAAAGGCTTTTTTTCCTTTCTTTCTTTCCTGAAAATATGTTTCTTTCTCACTTGCTCCTTTCTCTGTTGTAGTTAATAATCTGTAAAAGAGCTGATTCTGGAGATCTGAGTGAAATGGCACTTTTGGAATTGTACTTTTAACCACACCACGCTGGGGAAGGTGCAGAAGCTCTGTATATGTGCGTATGAGAGGAACTCGTGCCGTGCAGATGACTTTTCAGACACGGTGACAGAGAGGGACCACAGGTGAGTCGCCGGCGATCTGCTTTGCCAAGAGGATTTTTCCGGCCCCTAATCACAGAAAAGCTCTCCATCTCCTCCCCAGAGTTGGCGGTTCTCATCTGTTTCAAGTGAAAATAACCAAGAATATAAGATGGCAGGTAAAAAAGAATCCCCAGCCAAGTAGCCGTGTTGCCCTGCATTCCCCCCAGCCAACATTCCCAGGTGCTGGGGTCTCGGTCCCCGGGCGAGAGAAAGAGCTGCAAAGGGTTAAGCCGCTGACTTTCTTGCTAGGCAAAGTTTGAGGAAGAATACGTTTGAAGAATAAGTTTGAGGGATACGCTGCAGCCCCGCGTTTGAAATCTGTCACCCTCACTTAGGAGCGCTGCATCTCTGATTGTCACCGGTGAATAATGATCGCACGGCGATAAGATCGCTCGGCGGCCGTGCGCCGGGGCCGCCTGGGGGAAGAGAAGACAGGAAATTGCGAGGCGTTTAGCCGCTTCCACGGGGTGTTCTTCAGTGTCATCGGTGGGTGTCAGGGTCAAACGACCGGCTGGAGAGCAGTTTGGGAAGATAATTTCTTTCCTCCTTTCCTTGAGAGCAACCTTGGATGTTGGTGACCATTGGCAGCTATGGAAAACAGAGACCTCGGTGGTGATCCTTAAAACAGTACCATGCTGGAGCCCAGCTGCGCTGTCACTTTCTCCCCTTTCAACCTGCCGGACCCGGTGGGCTTTGGGTGACCTACTGAGAAGGAACCCAGTTCTGCAGGAGCAGGTAACGCCTGATTAAGTCACTTTCTGGATTGACACAATCTTGATTTCACCAAAACGTGTCCTGAGTCATCATTCACTGATTTGAAGTACAGGCTGGTTGAGGGTCCAGGGACAGGGAGAGGAACAGGAATAATTCCACCTAATCCCTCTGAAACTGCGGAGCAGGGCAACTGCCTGAAGCCTTGCGCAAGTTTTTAACATTCCCACTTTCCTCCCTCATTAGGGGCACAGAGGGCAGAAATACCTGTGATCGACAATGGCCAGGTCTGCCTCCTGTGCTGACGACAGGTTGCTAGTATCAGGGACGTGGAAAACAGAGGGACAGGTGGATTACACATGAAAAAGAGAGGGGTTTTTCGCCAAAAAATGCACTGGTTGTTCATCAGCTTCATGAAGGAGATATAAATCATGCTCTAATAAGAACTCTGAAAAGTATGCAGAGGCTAAGAAAGAAAGAAAGATCTTAAAAAGTAAAAAAAAAAAAAAAAAAAAAAAAAAAAAAAAAAAAAAACAAAAAACACATCCCAATAGGAAAAACAAAACCAAAAACCTAGCACATTAGGCTTTGTACTCTACAGGGCTCTTGATCCTTTCATCCCTCGGCACCAACTAGCATCTGCGAGCAGTTTCGACCACAGAGCAGCCCCTGCTCCGAGGCGGGGATGCAGGTCCTGACCGCGGGACTGACCGGTGTCACACCCTCTTCTCCCCGGCCGGCTGCACCCGCGGAGGGCCCCGGGCTGCCTCCCCTCCATCCTGGGGGCGTAAAGCAGGGAGGGAAGCGGGGTCTCGTCCTTAACTCCCTTCCTCTTGCTGAGACCCCCGAGAAATGTGGCTACCTGCGCTCCCCAGTCCGTGCTCGCTCCCCACCCCCATCACTCCGCGTAGGTGAGGGCACAAGTCCTTCTCCGAGCGAGCGAGCAGGCGGCGCGGCGCGGCGCGGCTCCGCTCCGGGCTGTCCATACGCGGGGACTCTCGGAAGCCCCCTTGGAGGGCAGGAGGTGCAGGGCAGGGCGAGTGCGGGGGCAGGAGCTGCGCCGAGCACACGGCGGTCGGGCTGACCCTCGCCGGGGCTCCTCGGTACGGCTTTATTGAGCCTTTGAAGTCGTGAGTGGTTTAGCCCCCCCAAGCGAAGGGCGAAGGAGGCGCGCAGCTAATAGCGAGTGATTCAGCTTATGAGGTACGGCCGAGCAAATAGAAGCCACTGAGCAGCCAAGGGTGAGGGGGAAGCCAAACCCGAGGCATTTCGGTTCGCTTTTCTGTTTCCTCGACACATGGCATTGATCAGCTCCTTCTCCTCCATCCCTCCTCAGCCGGTTTCTTAAAGTAACTCGCAGCAAAAGCTGTGTTGTGCGTTTTCTTTTAATGTAGGAGTTTGAGGCAAATTCTCTTCGCACAACCCACGTCCTACCTTGACGGCTGTATCCTATCGCTCAAGTGCTTCTCGGTGTTAAATAGCCTTGTCTTTAAGTGGACTTTCCAGGACAAGGCAGTAGGCTACTAGAGAGCTGGACGGCGGGGGAAGGGTTACTCCAAAACAAGCGCAGACAGCCCGGCATGCACACACACACACACACACACACACACACACACACACACACACACACTCATATGTACACGCACTGAATGTGTACAGGAGAAATAGAGGGGTGGGGTGGAGTGGGTGTTGTTACCGCTTTAGGGCAAAAGGCGGTTTCTCCAGAGGTTTTTAAGTCTTTATGGCTGATGATGAAAATCAGACAGAATACTAGAGGAGGTCCGTCTCTTCCCTGAGGGCTGGAGATTCTTTTATTCTGTGTTATATTTGTTGAATACTGGTGCTGTGTATCTAAAAGTTAGCAAGGGAGGAAGGAGAGGAAAAGGAGGGGGTGGGGGAGGCGGGCTTGCTGGCGGCTGCACATGAAATATCGCCATGTTGGTGGAGAGCGCGGCTGTAATTATTGCTAGCGAGGGCATCTCCCAGAACCGCCGCTCGGGGAGTTTTTCAGCTCACTTCCCGGCTTCCCTTTGCGATACGCTCCGATACACTCCGAGAGTCCCCGGAGCGGCGTTGCGGGGCAGTCCCGCCGCGAAGGACGGCGATACGCGCACCTTCCTCTCCCGCAGCGCCGGCCCGGAGGGCTCGGTGGTGAGGCAGAGCGCGGAGCGGGGTCTCCGCAGCCCGCACATCCCCCGGCAGCGCCGCCCGCTTGCTTCCCATTGCTGAAAGCGGCGGAGAGGGGGAGTCCAAACAGAGGAAGCTCGCTAAATTGTCCTCAGCAACCTAGGGGTTAAAAGCAGCCGGGGGGAACTGGGGGGACGGGGAGGGAAATAAGGAAAGAAGAAAAAGAGAAAATCTAGCCTGACTTTGCCTCTTGGAAAGCTTTAGGTTGCAGCCCTGCCTTCCAAGCATTCTTTAAAGTAGAAATGTGGGAGGGACTCCAGGAGAGAGAGAGAGATGGCTATCAACTGAATTCATTACTGTAAACATCTCCCTGGGGTGTCAGGCAGGGAGGAAAAAAAGGCACGACTTACATTAGCAGGGAATAGTGAGATGTGAGGCATCACTACTGCTAAGATCATCCTGCAATCCCGGCTGGAGACAGGCGCAGGACTTGGAGAGAGCCAGACACACGCTCACATATATACTTACGTACATGTGTCCGATGTCTACTCCGACTTACGAGGGTCCTGGGTCGCCGTGCCTGCTCCTCATGTGATCTTTTCATCATTTCCAGAGAATAGAAAGAGACCAGAAAAAAAAAAAAAAAAAAAAAAAAAAAAAAAAAAAAAAACAACCAAAATAATCCAGAAAGAAAGAAACCCCAAGACCAAGCGTAGCCGCGGTCCCCTCTCGTTTATTTTTTTACCGGAGAAGGAGGAACGGCGGGGGAAAGAGAGAGCGAATCGAGGAGAGAAAGTGCGTTGGGAATGCCAGAGCCGCGGGCTGCGCGCCGGAGGAGGAGGTGGCGGAGCAGGGGGTAGGACGATGCCGCCGCCTCGTAAGGGCGGAGGAAGGCGCGGGAGGCGCGGGGGTCGCTCGGAGCGGCGGCGGCCGGCGGGGAACGGGCCCGCGGGGCCGGCCGGGAGCGGCGCCGGGCGGAGGGCGGCGGCGGCCACCACCGAGGAGCGGCGGCGGCAAAGTTTTGGTGTGGGGGGCCAGAGGCGCGGAGGGGGATTACGATCGGTGCCGGCGAGGGATTCCCAGACACCGCCAGGTACAGTTGGGATTTCATTTCTTACTCTTTTCCTTTCTGGTAATTCTAGCCCCGGGCGATCTAAAGCCGCGGTGCCCTTTGCCTGCTCCCAGATGGCAAAGTTGAGGAGCCTGGATCAGGCTGTGTCAGAAACACCGCCTTCGCCACGTTAGAGCCCCATGTCCGCGGCGCCGGGCACACACGAGTAGGATTTATGAATGGCCGGCGGCAAGTGCTAGCAGGGTCCCCGAGCTGTTCTGCGCCAGCGTGTGGCTCAGGAGCGGGACTCGGAGCTGGCAGCTGCAGCGAGGTCCCGGGTCCCCGGTCGCGTTTCACCGCCGAGCAGGGAGGGTGCCGAGCCTACCCCCTCCCCCCGTGGGGAGGGGAGAGCCGAGGACTACCCCTGCGGCAGGGGCACCGGCAGAGCGCCCCTGTGAGCACCGCCAGCCGCTCTCTCTGGGAGGTGGTTCGGGCAAACGGGACCTTTAGAGGTGAGCCTTGCTTGGGAGACGAACTCGGCTTAGATCGGCGCTGCCGAGTGTTAGGAATCTACGGGGAGAGTGGAGAGCTGCGCCCGGCAGGAGGATCCATCAGATCCCCATCAGCAGCCTCCGGAGCGGGGCTGGCGGTGAGTGGGTGGGGGAGAGGTTAAGAGAATCGGACCGAGATTCGGAATACAAAGGAGCCGCTCAGAGACCTGACGAGTTAGACGGGGATCTGACAAAATAAGAATAAATACTACGGGGGGCTGGGTGCGTGGGGATGGTGTGTGAACAAAAAATAGCAGATGGCAAAAGGAAGTCAAGCAGCTGAAAAGACCTCTCTTGAATATGATATAAAACCCCATAAAAGATAAATAAACAATCTTTAAAGTTAACAGAATAAGATTCTCCACCTTCTTTTCAGAGTGGAAAGCAGTCAACAGGAGCTTTTAATTAATTTTAATGGAGGAAATCTGTTTTAGGGCTTACAATAATCTAATAAATCCAAGGCACAAATCCGTGTAAATTCCTGCACTGTGTGTGGAAGGTACTGATTGTATTTCTTCAGATATTGCCTTTTGCAATGCAGCATTCAGCCAAATAGAAAGGGAGAGGTTCCTTACACGAGGAGAAGGAAAAGATACTAAAAACAAGTCAGACCTCTCCCTCTCTACCTCCCTCTCCCTCTCTCATTCCTTCCCTCTCCCTCTCCCCCCACCTCTCTCTCTGAAAGTCAAGGTGTATGTTAAAGAGAGGTTTATTTACTGTAACTAACTTTACTCTGCTTGCAGGGAAATTAAACCAGTTTAGAGGTTTAGATTGATCAGTTCTTGGGTTTAATAAACCCAACTAACCATACAAAAACCCCCACAAATTTCCATGGACTGAATTCCTTGCTTCATTCACTGGCATGGTCTTTCTCCAAAGAAAGACCTTTACATATTTGTAGTTTAAGACGAAGTCAATGAATTGATTTTTGCTATATGTATTTTTGGAAGGAGAAAAGTTTATCCTGGCATTTTTTTCAAAACTCTTAAAAGGTACTGTACCTATATCTCTATTCACCTTTCTTTCCTTTCTTCTTTGAAATAGTCAATATATGCAATGTTATCACTGAGACATAAACTTTGCATAATGAAAAAGATCTAAACATTGCATAATAAAAAAAAGACATAACAGGGGATTTTAAAGTCATTATTTCTATGTGGCAAAAGTGATGTCAGAATGTTAGTGTTGATCTTGTTTCTGAAAATTATGTGAGGAGAGACTTCAAGAAGCTGTTTCAGTGGTTGTTCTCTGTGCTGATATGGCAGCGAGGCAGTTGAGAGAGTTCAGGCCTGGAGTACTGTAGGTAAAACAAGTCAGAGCCCTGTGCAAATATAGTGTCTATAAAACTACCTGTGACTAGAACAGTCATCAGTGTTTTCCAAAGTCCAAGGCTTTAGCAAGAAGTGGAGCTGGAATGCACCCAGCGTTCTTAAGACCTGCTCCTCACACACACGTACACCCTATATTTTGTATAAGGTGATGTTATCTGTGTTTGGCTTGGGGAAGTCTGGATCTAATTTGAGCCACTGTAACAAGTTACATTTATATCCTGGCCTGCTGGATAGCTTGATTTAGGATGTAGACATATCTCCTTTGCGCAACCCTACACCCTTCCAGTTGGAATCTGCATTACATAGGCTGTGCTTTCCTTCAAGAATCAAGAATGTGCTTGCATTCAACTGCTTAAAATAGCAGTATCTAAAACGTGGGATGTCATTAGGGCTGACTTCCCTACCCTTCCCGCAGCAAAGGAGGAGAGTCATAGTTTTACCAAGTGAAGAAAACAAAAAGCAGTTAAAACAAGTACAACTATCAGGCTTTTCCTGTACTGAAGTTTCTATTTAAAGGACTAGAAAGAAGGCACACTTAAGATAATACTGTTTCCAGGAAGGTGAGAGCTTTATTTCTTAGTCATTTGTGTTACCTCTTTAATCTCAAAATTAGTTCATTTTTGTCTAGGATACTTTCATGTAACTTTCAGGCTTTCACTAGGCAGATTCAAATCCAGTCCATTACTGACCTCTATCTGTGAGAAGGGTGTAGTCAATGGTGTATTTTTCCCTTCTCCATAGTGGATAGGAAGCACAGACTAGAAATCATTTTAGTTCTTTTATACCTGCAAATCACTTAGTTTTTTAGGTTATCAATCTTCTATTCATTGCAAACAATGTGCTTTTCAATTGTTTCAAGCAGGAAAACAAAACCAAGCTCCAGTTCCAAACATGAAAGCATTTTCAATCTGTTTCAGGTATTCCTGTGATAATATGATAAATATTTGCAAAAATCAGAAAAACAAGAAGTAACCAGTGCTGTTGAACATTAGTACTAAAGGAATTGCATTTATATTTGTCTGATGTTATAATACTTACTCTAAAGCAGGCTGAACCTGTATGAAATTGTATTGCCCCTCAGAGCTTACATAATTGAAACTTGAGAGAAACACTCAGATCAGATATACTATGAGTAGAGTTTATGGTAGCAGGGTGTTTAAAAATGTAAGGAAAAAAAACCTCAGTGCTGTCTATATTAGGAATACATGTCAGAGATCATGGAAAAAGTGGTCTTTATAGAACAGATGGACTCTTTTAGGGAATTATTAAACCCAGCTTCCCAATACTAATTTGCCTCTTGTTTATATCCACACTATATTCCATATTTTACTTAGTGATTGCAAATGGCAGTTAAAAACTTGACCAGCAAAATCATTGAGTAGATGAATACCACTGTTTGACATTTCTCAGATTGTAGTTGATTACCTCAGTGCTTGGTAATGTGATGTTTTAAGGTGTTTCCTTCCCTCCCTCTTGGGCAATTTTTTAGGAGTCTTTCTGCAAAGCTTTTTATTTATTTCCTCAAGAAACCAAAAGAGTTGAAACTTGCCCCAGAGGTATAAAAATTGGGTTTTTTTTCTATTTTTTTCTTTTCTATTTTCTAAACAAATATTGTTTTTTCTCTTATTAGAAAAACTAGAAAAGAATAATATACGCTTGTTATTTTTTTAAAAGAAGACTAATTTGACATACACTGAAGATATGAGCCTCAGTTTCCCTACAGCTATGTGTAACCCACACATTTCAAGTAATTGGCTTATTTTAAAGAAAAACAACCACAAAAAGATCATCATTAAAATGATGGTATGTTTTATTCATTTATTTTAAGCACACCGAAACCTTAATGCATCGATGATACTCAGGAAAGAAGTGTTTGAAATAAAAGCTCTGCTCTGTTTAACAAATTATATTCTAATCACATGAAATAATATGCCTCAGGAATACTACAATTTAATCTGATATTTTTAGCCACTGGCAAAAGGTGTTGGGACCTTCTTATACATTTTCTTTTTTTTTAATTGATGGTTTTTCCAGTTAACAGGTTGTTTGTTTGGTTTTTTTCTGTCTTTGATTCCTTCTTCTGATGTGGCCCCTTGAACTGTATCAAAATTAAATACAAGCAGCAACTTAAATCCATCATGCTCTATTCAGCATTCCTGAAAACTTAATGATGCAGAACAAGGTCTGTAAAGTTTCCCTTTTTAAAAGAAGTCTTGTGTTTCACTCTACCTAGAAACAGTCTTCTGTATATTTTACTTCAAGCTATGACTGCTTTATTTGGTTTGGTTTTTTTTTTTTCATAAACCTTTTCTAGCCTAGTGTAACGCAAGGATATATTTAAGAAGGCATATAGCATAGAACATAGTTTATCGTTCAAAGGTACTGTCCTTGAAACTGCTTAAGTCCTTTCAGAAAAAAACCCTCTTATGATATACAGGATCAGATCATTGCCAGATTTGGTCCTGCAAAGTGATGGCTTTACTTTGGCCAAAGAGCAGAACTTCTGTCACTTCATCCAAACATTTTCACTATGATATATTAAAAAATAAATTATAAAAGAAAGTAAATACTGAATTCTGTGGCTCAAGATATCTCTCTGCCTGGATCAGGATTTGCAAAAACACACTGCAGACCATCACAGTAATCTACTGACCAGGGCCTGTTGGAAGCAAGTCACCTCTCACCTGGGGCCAAAGTTCTTTATTGTGTCCAAGTTGTCATTGGCAATCTAATAATCTTCAAAATATCATATAGCTATCAAGCAAGTTCCTTCTCGATGAATAAATTAATCTAAAGCAACTACAAAAATTCAGGCAAAATTTTCAAGATATTTTTAATGACTGAGATCTTGTGGGAGCATTACAAGCAAAAGATTTTGAAATTCCATGTCTGATTTATTAGGCATACATTGTCATGTACAGGGCAGGCTGATGCTACACACTTCTCTTGTAGTAAATACTGTAAACTATATGGAAATACTACATGACCTCTTGAGAGTAGGGAAGGTGAGAGATCTGAATGAAAAGCCTCCTCAGCACCTCCCAAAAACAGAAATCGGTGTGTTGCAGTGCTACTCTCAGTTCTTTCTGGCAGCTTTTGTCATTCCTTCAGAAAACCAACAGGTCAAGTTAAACTAAAGGGTAGAGCTTTTTCTGACAGTGCTTCCAATGCTGCACAACATAGCTGCACTAGCAGCTCCTACCTGGCCAAGCTGTTCCATAAGATCTAGCCAAGAAACATCATCTTTAAAAGGGTTGTCAGTGTGGGAAAGTGCTCCAGCAGCATGTTCGAGGAGTGCTGGGGGCTTTGGTGATGCTCATGTACTGTCTTCAATCTTCACACAGGTTGCAGAGGATCAAAACATGGTCAAACTGGAGTCATAGGGCCATCAGCTGCAGACCTGTAGGTTCAGAGTACAAATAGTTCTCTCTCTTAAGATGTCCTGTATGTTCTTCCTTTAGAGAAAGAGATGACCTTTACAATGTCGTTGGAAACTACTGCCAAAAAAAAAAAAAAATTATGTCAATAACATACTGACAGCACATGAGAATTAATATGCAGTTTTGAAAAAGAAATATGGGTTATATATATGTACATGCATATGTATACAGTTTTTGTATGGGTTACATATATAGGTGACTGTGACTGTCTAGTCATAGAGGTCAAACTCAGACCTTTCAAAGCATATATAATTAATATTAATTAAAAATTAATTTTGTTGGTGAGATGCAAATCAAATTAAACAATAAGAAAAAAGATATATTTTT